ATGTGTGAATGTGTGAAAAGATGTTACTGAAAGAAGGATTCTCATGCCAAGCTGAGCCGAAAACCTTGAAGAAAACCCTTTTTATCAATTTGATTACAGTTATCTTCCATGGTTTGAAGTGTTTTACAAACTTCTCAACAACTTGGCTGATTACCTTACAAAAGGACAGGTGAGATTTCATTGCTTGTGTGTGATCTTTCTGCTCCTCTATTATTCTCTAATCCATACACGATAATCCATAAGTATCATGAACATAACAAGCGTCATCTTCTCAACAGACCAATGAGATGAAAGCGCTACTGGCTGCCCTCTACAAGCAGCCCCTGCCACTGGCAGCTGGATCTGTCACTCTGCAGATGGTAAATCTCTATTTAGCCAACGAGAACCAGGAGTCACACACTGACTTTTTGGTTGTTGTTTTCTTTGTCAGTAGTTAGCGTGTTGTGTTTTTTTCTGAGGGAGAGCAGCTATTGGTCAGCACAGAGGTGTCTCATCCAGTTGGACACCCAGAGGGACAAAAGGGGGTGAGTCCCACAGGAGTTCATGTGGTCTGGAATAACAGCTGTAGCAGATACAGACTAACTCCTGCTGGAACCTCCGTTGTATGTGCTTCATGACTAAACCTGATGTGTGTGGACTAAAACCTTGTCACTCAACCCTCTACTTAAATGTTTAAGTCAAACTTAACACAATTTACACTAACGTCTACCATTCATTCTGACAGTTTACTGTATATATCCATAACCTATGAATAACACATGATTGTACAGACCCCACAACAAATGTTTTGTCTTATGGGAAATGCCTCCATGTGGCTCAAAGCTGTTGGTTCTATCTTGTGAATTTTCATTCCAAAATAAGAAATCCTTCACTTGAAAAAAACATTTATCATTCTTTCAGCTAAAAAAAAATAGTGTGAAAATAGAGAAAGTATGATTAAAGTTGTGACCCACACAATTTCAGTATTTGCCAACACCCATGTTTACCATGGTAACAACAAGTGTGGATTAATACCACAGGTCCAAGCAAACAGCTGTAACTTAATACACCTCTGATATGGCGTAAAGAGTGAAGGCATTTTGAATCCAGGGCAGAAATGGCTGACTCTGCCAATAACAATCAAAACTTCTCGATACTGAATATATATACATTAAATTACAGGAAAAAACACAACAATAAACATGATCAAAAATGGGGTTGGATTTCAAGTAAATCTTAAGGATCATAACTTTAAGGGTTCGTTACGGTAAGACATCAGATTACAGAATACTTTGCATTTCAATGGCATGATTTAATGGACCAGAATTTTGGAATGAAAACCTAAAGTCTGACCCTGTAACTTGTAAAGCATGTCTGTATATATGATGTTAAAGCCAGCTGAAAGCAAAACACTTCCTTTAAATTTGCTGAATATTCTCTTTAGTGTTTTATTTTATTTGTTTTGATCAGGTTCCATACTTCATCGCTCCAGACCCCAGAAGTCTCCCTTCCATCCCTGAAAATGTGAGTATGGAAGATTAAACTAAATTCAGGGTTTAAATCTAATATCCTACAAAGCATGTTTGCCCTTTTAAACTGTGTGCGCCTGTTTCTGTGGGTTTACCAGAGGAACTTGACAGAGCTGATTGTGGCAGTAGACGTGGGTAACCTGCTCCAACTCTATGCCAGCATGCTGTTTGAGAGACGCATCCTCATCTTTGCCAGCAAACTCAGCACTGTAAGACACACATTTCTATTTTTAAAGGATTTTATTTACATCTAGGTACAGAAGCACATTCATTCTCTGGAAACTTACCCAGACCTATAACCAAATTGACACTATGTCAAACCCCAACAAAGACAGAAAGTACTTCTTCTGAATGCAGCTATTTAGAAACCAAACTCACTGACGTAATGTCTTTTAGTCACTCATTAGCCACCATATGTGACCAATGGCAGACCACACAGGCAGACTTATGTGTGTGTTGCTATTGTCTAAACCACTCCTCCATTTTGTGTTGTGTGTAGCTGACATCTTGCGTGCATGCGCTAAGTGCTGTGTTATACCCCATGTACTGGCAACACATCTTCATCCCTGTCCTGCCACCCCACCTACTGGACTACTGCTGGTAAGAAATCTATCTATCTATCTATCTATCTATCTATCTAATCTATCTATCTATCTATCTATCTTCTATCTATCTATCTATCTATGAATATCTATCCTATCTATCTATCTATCTATCTATCTATCTATCTATCTATCTATCCACAGTTGATTCACACTTCTTTATTTGGTTTCAGTGCACCTATGCCTTACCTAATAGGGGTCCACACCAGTCTGTCTGAGGTAAACTACTGATTAAAACTATACTTAAATACTAACAAATGTTCTAATCTACCAGAATTGTCCCCACAAACTGACCCCACCAACAGATCAAACTGTGTCTCTGTGTTGGTCCAACAGAAGGTGAGGAGTCGTGGGTTGGAGGAAGTTGTAATTCTGAATGTGGATACAAATACTCTGGAAACCCCCTTTGATGACCTTAAGAAGATACCTTCAGATGTGGTAAATAATACTCTGTGTGTAGGTTTGTGTTTGTTTGTGTGATTGTCTTTTTAGCATCTCACACTTAACACTTTACTCTTTTTATAGTAAGGAAAGAATGACTGGAATGTTATTTAAGTGAAGTCTGTATCACAGAATCAAGTGATGCTTGTTAGGTAAAAGATACAGGTGTCTTGGCGAAATACACATTGCCAGTGTTTAAGAAGCAACTTTAGCACATGAGGTAAGAAAACAGTCACCCAGTGCTTGGTTACTGTGTGAATAAATTCTACAGTCCACATTATTGCAGCTTGGACTAGAAAGTAGTAGTCAGAAAGTACAGAGCACATCGCTGAGCAGCAGCAGCAGCAGCAG